ACCTTTGGTCAATAACAGATCCTGTTTCTCTTTGTGGAAAATGTGTGGGCTCTTTCTGGAATAAGCAAGCAAAGCCCAGCAATCTGCACTTGCTAAGTAACATGCAAGTGCTGCAATTCTGAATACTGTAATTTGCTCATCCATAAATTCATAGTATCTAAACTGTTTCCTAGACAAACAGGGTATCTACTTAGAAAGCAATTCAGCAAGAAACAGCATGATATGGATCATGCGTATAGATACAAATCTATGTATACACAAACACGCATACGCACCAAGTAAAGTAGCACTTACACTAAGTGTGATTTACATACATGAAGGGAAGTGAGTAGTCAGGCAGATGGAGCCAGATCTTCAGCCTCTGTGTGCTGGCTGCTTATCTGCTAACTTGGAACAGGGAAACTTCACAAAAGCAAACTTGAGATTTAACAGTAAATCTAACACCAAGGAATGCTGTGGAGAAAGGCACATGGCATGATGGCTTTGTAGCAAGAGTAGAATCTTATTTAATACAATTACAGTTAGTTACTTCAGTCTAGTCAGCCCTAGTAAGTCTCCATTGGAATAAATTAGAAACTGATGGTGAAACACTTTGAACATGTTAAATGCTTTATTATTCTTGCAACTGCTGTAGGAACAGGAAGGGCCAAATCCTTGGAATAGTGCAAGGTTGTAACATGACAAATAAGGCCAGTACTTTTGCCTGGCTAGCTTAACACATTTTCTTGTTGTACTAACCAAGTATCTGCCTTAAAAATACCGAAAAGCTCAGGCCCTACTTTACCACCAAGGAAATCACTTCTGCGGTTCAACATAAACTAAACAGCCTTTTCCATCACACACCATCCAACACCAGCACATAAAGACTATTTACAGAAAAGGGGCAATGAATTGTGAAAGGGAAATAAAGAGGCGCAGGGGAAATCTACTGGCTGTACTATGAACTTTTATAACAGGATTAAAGTCTTATGCCCCACCAGCACTGTCATGCAGAGCACCGAACTCCTCCTTGGTAACACAGTCTTAGGCAAATACCCAAAAAAGATCAGAAAGCAATGACTGAAGGCATAGGGTAGAGAAGGAAATGAGACACTGAATTAGGAAAGGTTAAAAGTACTGGGTCATGTTCAGTCCTGCAAAGCAAAGACTTAACTGCATACAACTATATAAAAGAGGTTATAAAAGAGACCAACAACTGATTATTCTCCCCAACCAAAGACTGAACAAAAAACTACTGAGATGAAGCCATAAAAAGGAAAATGAAGGACTGAGAAACTTTGTAATTCAAGGAGTTGAACAAGCAACCCAAAGGCTGTCGAATACTCATCTTTGAGGGTATTCAGGCTTAAGTAAACACCCATCTGTTAAAGAACGTTTCGTTGTAATTGCTCCTGCAAGGAGGTGGAATGAGAGTCCCACCGAAGTCTGAGGACTCAATACCCACAATTCATTTCTTTCATTAATATCATCAATTAATTTCAGGTTTTGAAACATTTATTCAGAACAACAAACATCTGGTCCTTAATCCCCCAGTTAATGCTGATTCCAGCCCTAAGGAATTAATCATAGAATTCATGGAAAGCAGTTTTTTTGCTAGCAATGGAGTAAAACCAATTGCCTACAAAGGTCTACATTGCTAATAGAGCAGTTTAACTGCCCTTTTCCCCTCTATTTTTGACATTTTAATTTAAAAAATAGAGGCTAGAAAGTTGTCCCCGGGCAGAGGCTTTGCAGCAGTGTGTTAGCAGAGGATTACACAGCACTACAGACTCAGGCTCTCACTCATGGTACTGACCTGCTTTGAAGAGCACTCTACGATCTAAGGATGAAAAGTACTGTAAAAAGTGCTAGATATTATCATTAGTATTCAGGAGGCCAGAATTCCGTGGCTTGGTTAAATTCAAAGGGACCTTCTGAAAGCCAACACATTTGAGAGAAGAAAAGAGCTCTGCTGTTAGGGCAGGCGGGCTGCCCAGGCAGGGGCCAAGCCATGCTTCCTTCCACCGGCTCCCAGCAGGCTGCGCTGCAGACTTGCTTAGTACCATTGAACCAAACCCACTCCTGCTCCCTTTTTGTTTATAATCACTTCCACAAGGTAGTGTTTTAATCTATTAATAGCTACAAAAAAAAATAAGGTAATATTTAAAATGCCATCCTGATGAAGTAAATCTGTATTACTTCCTGCATTCTCAGAACCCATGTGTTCTGTCACTCCTGTCTCTCCACTCTTCACGCCAAGGAGCTTTCCTGGCTATGGCTGGCCACCAGAAGATACTTATTCATAGAATCCCAGACTGGTTTGGGTTGGAAGGGACCTTAAAGCTCATCCAGCTCCAACCCCCTGCCACGGGCAGGGACACCTTCCATTAGAGCAGGTTGCTCCAAGCCCTTGTGTCCAATCTAGCCTTGAACACTGCCAGGGATGGGGCAGCCACAGCTTCTCTGGGCACACTGTGCCAGCGCCTCAGCACCCTCACAGGAAAGAACTTCTGCCTAATATCTAATCCAAATCCACTCTCTATTCCACGAACACCTCTTTGTTGCCACCTCTTACACCCTGCAGCTCAATGGATTTACACCGCACTGCTTTCAGCTGCTGTGGAGAAGTTAAATGGAATGGAAAGTCAACCACCATAAATGTTCCAGTACTCTGGTTTTAAGGATGCTTCTGCCTGTGGGAGTGGAATGTGCTGTTCATCAGCTGGTTCGCCTGGCTCTGCCACTACATGAATTTTAAGTAAACATCTTTTATTCTTATAAAACAGACTTTTCAATATGTAACAAATACAAGCAACATCCATTACCATTCTATGCAGCAACCCAGACTCTCAATAATAGCTCTGAACGTCTCTGCTAGCTTCAGGGACTCTAATTGACCACTATAATTTACTTCAAGGTTAGCATGATTTGGACAGCCCTTGAAAACGTGTTTTTGTTACTAGACCCTTCTGTATGCATTTGCTGCAGCCGAGCTTTTCCTACCTACTAATTTCACATTTTCTGCTGTGTGAGTAGTCCTAAGACAAGGCATCAATTAGTAATATGAGGATCCGAGTCATTTCTCCTTATGCCCCTTCAAATCTCTTTAGATAATATTTCTTTATCAGCATATTCAAGTTGATGGCTGCTTTACCTTTGCATCTTTCTACAACAAAGCTTTCAGTGTTTCTTATTTGATGTCTAACCTTTATTAAATTTTCAGCTTCTCTAAGATCTTTATATCATTTATTAGTGCTACTAGACACTATGGAATGATGTATTAAGGGGGAAAAACACCTTTATTTAGTTTTGGAAGAAATAATTTTGAAAGCCTTGTTAGAAATCACATTAGTGTTTTGGGGTTTGGTTTGTTTAGGGTTTTTACCCTGTCATTCCAGACTGGTCATTCTCTACTTATTTCTTCATGGTTCCAGTGTACTTCAGATGACAATACACTTCCGTATGGAGTCCTGAAAGATAGATCCTTTACCATTTACAGCTGACAAAGTATTGAATTCAACCAGACCAAACCATATAAGCCTTCTCATGAATTCATTGCTTTCCAGATTTGGTCAAAACTATGTATGTTCCTATTCCTTTAGTTCACTCTGGGATCAGTTGATTCAAAGATCTGTCATCAGATCAGATCATTCCCTATCAGGGAATAGGACACAACAAGGTAGAAGCTGAGCTACGATAGAGATTAAATTGCCATGATTAGAAAACAACAACCTCCAGAATGATGAAATACCACAAAACTGCAACCTTCACAATTAACTTTGGGGATGTCACAGCCAAATCAAGTGGAATTAGGTGTTACATGCCTGAAAGATCCTGTTCTGAACAAGCTCCACTAATAAAACCACCCCACAACTTAACCAACCATTAGTGATGGAGAAACTGCAGCTAGGCTGGTATCTTGTGTGCTTGTTTTCTACTGACAAAAAGCACACAGGGATGAAGACTGGGCTGTCAATCAGGGATCTATTGTATCAGCTCTACATGGTAGCCTTAGCAGGCAGCTAGCAATTACAAGTCTCTTACCTCAATAATTACAGCCACAAGAATACCTCTTTAACAACATGACGTTCCGGTTCTGCCATGTAGCTTGTGCTTCTCAGAGTGCAATGCACTAACCTCAACAAACACTTCCTTCTTAAGACTGAAATCAAAGTCTTAACTGGCAGGTCAGGTCTCTCTATCATTATTTCCATTAGAGAGGCTTGTGTTGCTACTGTAGGTGGCAAGGAACACAAACTTAAGTGTGCTTTCTGAAGGTCTTTTTCAATGGGAACAAAGCGTTCCACAGCATTTTTAAGGCTACAGAAGTGACTCCCACACACACCATGATGGTGGCTCCAGCAGGAAACAAAACTACTGGAAATCACCACTATTGTGCTGCTCTTCAGAGGATTTTCCTATCATGGAAGACTGAGATTATTGGATGCTCTCAATATATGTTAGTAAATTAGCTATTCTGGTAACACTCTATTGGAAATAGGGGGGGTTGCATATGAAAATTTCACAGTCTGAAATCCCAGCCAAATCAAGCACTAACTACTACAGTTAGTTCTTTAGGAATTTATTGTCTTTCTCAGAATTAGAATTTAAAGCTGTCAGTTACGAGCTAAATGGTAATTGGAAGGTCTGATATTCCCAGACATTAACAACATTTCTGACCTCTCAAACATGCCTCTCCCCAGAAAAGCCAGCTCTGTGATCCTGAAACATGAAAAAACCTGGCCAAGCCTTAGAATGCTACACCTGAAACGTCACCTCTCTGTTAAACACAGGAATAAAATACACACAAGCAATGTAAAATGATTCAGCAAACATAACAAATGGCAAATGTTGGGAAAAGACACTCAAATTGATGAGCTCTGTTGTCAGGTTATTTTGAACACAAAAGTCATACTGGGTACTCTTGTGGTACCCGGACCCAGTACGCACCCATTTAGATCTAACAGCTGATTCTCTCAGAGAACAGTATCTCCCTACTGTTGCTGGGGCTTCTCACTTACCAGTTGGGACAGCAGGATCCATTGTTGGCTTTTCCCAGGTATTGATCTGCTCCCAGGTAAATCCATTGGTTCCCAAGGCCACACTATAGCCACAATTACTGTAGTGCTCATCAAATGAACAACCACCTAAAATGAAGAAAACCAAACACATTTCTGTATTATTTATTTATCTCTTTTTATGGTAGGTCAATTACTTAAATATTTTGTACCCAAGTTTATGCAAGTTAAAAAAAGGAAAAATGAAATTAATTTCCTGCATATTAGATTTCAGGTAGCAGGGGAGGTATCCAGAAAAGATTTCTGCACTTTCCAGACCTTGTATCCATTGGAAGCCTTTGTTTTCTTCCCTCTGTGCTACTGTTTCCTAGATGAGTTCCCTTTATTTCAACTTACTGTCTTTACTTTTTCAAGCACATGATGTGCACATGCAAGAAAATTTGCATTTGGGTCCCTGTAACTGATAGTTAATTACATAAACCTCCAAGTCAGGTATTAAAAGCAAAAATACCCCAAAAAATAGAACAGGGGGGTGAGAGGTGGGAGGCTGGAAGAAGGAACACAGATGGTAAACAAGTACAGCATTCCTACAGGGAATCCTTACTTCACTTTTAAGCCTTGAATTACACAAGGTTGGGTTATACCTATTGAAAGCACAACCTGCCTTTTAACCATCTCTTCTGCACAACAACATGAAGCTCTGTGTGGCACATGACCATTCCTCAAGGTCTTTCCAGTCAATACTTTTGAATGCAACCCTCTAGCTTCTTGACAACAAGAGAGTAACAAGAAGTGGATGGCAGCTAGCATTCACACCTTCCAAACTGTTGACTAAGTAATCTTCCCTACTGCAGTTCCTCAAATACTTGGAAGTAGTTAACTGTCATAAATAACCTGGCAGCTGCCTCAACATTTGCGAATCAAGAGAAACCCATGAACTGTGCAATGAAATCTTGTATTCCAACAGAGATCTTTGACACTTGTGTCACACAGACAAATCAAGCTACTTTATTCCCTGCTAGGATGGATGTTCCTCTGCTGGTGTCCCTTACAAGTACCTCAGGAACATTCCTCTTCACACGCACCCAACTTACGCTGCCAAACATATTTCAGTACTAGATCCATTAGATCAGGCAGCCCAGGTCCTTGAGTTTAGACATTAATCATGCCAACAGTGTCTCTGTACAGCTCTGTTTTTCTCTCTTAGGGAAGCAAGGATAAATTTTCTCTGCAGATACTCTTCCTCCAAAGTCAACTGGACACATCTAACGCTTCCAAGCTGCAAGGACTGAGCAATGCTCAAGGCAACACTAACTTGCTCTGCCAGCCAAACTGCCAATTGCTCTTGACACTAATCACAGTTACATGCAGAGATACTCCTGACTCTTTACTCCTTCCCACAGGCTGCGCTGCCTATACACACAGAATAAATAGCTGGAACATGAGTGATCCATGGTTCCTTTGCAATAAGGATTATCTAACACTGGGGACATAGAAGTCTTCTTTGGTTTTCACCTATATTTTCTATTGTCTAATCCCAGGAAAGCCCAAACTTGTCTTTGTTCCTATAGAACTCCTCATAAATGACAAGAATATATACCATATCATTAATATTTATTAAATCCTTTTTCTATTAAAGGACTTTATGCTCACTCCAACCACAACCGGTTTTCTAAGTTGTTCTACAAAGCTTCACATATTATTCTATTTAAATATATACTTGAAGGATTTGCTAGGTTCAGCGCCTGTTGCTGAAGAAGAGTTTAAATACCAGCTTCTCCTAAAAAATATTTGATATACCATATATTTCCATTTCAAGTAAATCTGACTACAGCACATTGTATGACCCTCTCAAACCTGCATCTTGGAGTCTCTGGAAGTATTTCCTTTGTGTCATTATTTTACACTATTTTAATAATTCCTGCTTTAAATTTACCATACTTGTGAAGTTTTGCCAGCTGTCAAAATGAGCAGAATTACACTTAAACTGTTTCCTTAATTTGGTAAATTTAATTTAGGTGAAAAAGTTCAGGTTTAGAATATTAAACGCGCTCATTAAAATGTCTAAGGGAAAAATCAAGGTGTTCTGGATTGTGTGGGAGTATGCAATGCAACTGAAAGTCACCTTTTTCACAGCAAGAGGGTATGACAGACAATATCAAACTGTCTGCTCTCAGTCTCCAAGCAGAGCATTCTAATTTTGACAGATTCCCTTTAATAGCACAACTTCAGACACAGACCATTCCCACACAACCTCTGCTCAGCATATTGCAGCGCACAATAACTGTGCTGTCTCTGAGCTATTACTTTGAAGGGATTGTAAACAAAGTCTCTGATCGAGCCAGACAATTGTACGAGGCCTCATGTACACAGAGAAAATTGCACAGGCGCTGCTCCAAAGTCCCAGAAGCAAAACAAGCAATAGTAGTGAAATATGGGGTAACAGTCCATCTAGCAGGGAATGTAATTGTCAATATCTTGCTCTAATCAGCTAAATAAGTTATTTTACACATGCTGAAGTAGGCAAAGTCAGCAGAGGGACTGAAAAGAGGATACAGTGAGAACTTAGGGAAGATTGGGAGTTTCCACTGATAAGAGACAACACCTGGGGAAGCTTCTAAAGTGCCTTGTCTGAAAGTCAAAGCTAACCGTGTAGTACAATTGGATAAGAAAGCAAGGATAAACCATGGAGAGCCTGAAAAATAACAGTAAGACATTTACGTTTTAAAGACATAAGAGGTTAGTGGAGAAACCTCCAAATGCGGAGTGACAGAGCAATAAACCAGAAGGATTAATTTACCAGAAGCAACAGAATTGGAACTTCGAGGTGAATTTGCAGGAAATGAGGACAAGCAGGAAAAAATGGAGTCAATTTTAAGGCTCAGACAAGCAGGCTGGCTGCACGAATCTTGGGTACCAAGAGGAGGGAAGACTTCATCTGCTCTTCTGCTATAACATGTCAAAAGAGAGCAGAATTAAAAGTGAAGACTTAGCTGGGACCCAGAGCCATGCTTGGGAGATAGATTTCAGCAACTCCTCTGTTCGCATTACCACGGCGTACATAACATTACAGAACAGAAGAGAAACTTCAGAAAGTGGAAAGAAGAATCAGAACATCCAGAATATCCCAGATTTTGGGATTTAATTGTTCCTATCTGCCAAACTAGTATACCTTAGGTGGTCTTACTCCTACCCTTTCGGCAGAGCACGGCACATGGCGCCACACTCAAAAAGCAGCTGGGAAACTTCCACCCCAGCTCACCTCGGGAATTCAAGACCCACCGCGCTCCTCCTGCCTCACTGACCTCGCTGACTGCAGGACCGCTTCCCGCACAATTCCTCTCCCTTTTCTCGGCTTTTGCCCTTTCTTAAGCACGGTTCCCAGCGGCTCCACTGGCTCCCTTTTGGGGCTCCACTGGCTCCTTTGAGGGAGCGGCCAGCCCTGTCCCTGCGCGGTGGGGTGCAGCCCGGTCCCTTCTCCCAGGGGCTGCCCCTCCAGCACCCGGACGTGCAGCACCGCTCTTGGAAACACATCGGCTTCTTAACGCAGAGCCAGCCCTGGGTCGTGTCCACCCTCCTCTCTCCTGGAAGAGGAGTCGGGAGGGATGAGGGACACTCCCAGCGCCGCTACCGCCGTTATCGCATCGTCTGTACCACGCCGCCACATTCGGCTCCACCTCAGCAGCATCTTCTCCTCGCCCCAGACAAGCCCAGTGGGCTCCATCCGCCCTCAGGGTCCGCAGCTCCGCTGAATCTAATGTGCCAGCACCCCAGGAGCTCACCTCAGCAAGGGCTCCCCTGCTGAATGGAGCCAGCCTACGAGTTCTAGTCCTTGCTGAAGGACGGTAAAGTGGGATGAGGAGGAAGAGTATGAGAAAGAGAATGGTTTAATACCTCTTCTGTGGAATACTGTTGACCCAGGAGATGAAAGTGCTTTTATGTTTAAGTGTGTGCTTAGAACAATACACTCCCAAGCAAGCTAGTGAGGAAACGCAGAGTAAGGATGCATTTGATGTCGAGTTGCACTTTCGTGGGTGCTCCCCATGCTCAACTCATGGGATTGAGTGATCCACTTCGCTACACAGGCACCTAGCTGCAAGATCCTTAAAAATGCAGCTACTCATGGCTAGTGATTTTCAGTTTAAACTTAACTTTAATCATCCACTTCAGCAGGGGTAATAACTGTAAAATGAATTGGCAGCCGAAATTGACCAGACGTGTTACTTTCATAAGCTTAACATTCAGCATTTCCAAAGACACACTACCTAGGGTGGATACCTAAATATGCTAGAACATAAAGGGGAAGGAGGGAAGGGGTTAGATCCTTCCTAACACAAAATCATCCATTGCTGAAACATAACTGCTTGGCAATAGAACAGAGCTATTCATTAACACAGAAAAAACAATCCTCAAATTGGAAGACAAAGATACCACTCAATGAATTCAGGTACCAGGTTTGCACATTATCATTTTAGCCACAGTATCACAAAGGTGTTTGAGGAACATGAAAACACCTACACATTTGCCAAAATGGGGTTCTATATCTTCATATATTAACAAGAATGAGGATTTTTAGGAAGCAAATGGGGATCTTGGAGCGTTTCCCATGTTTGGCTGAAAATTAAAGTGACAAATGCAGCTGCTAAGTGGGGTAAAAGAAAAGGGAATGGAGATGACTGATATTGTTAGATAATGCATGTGGTGTTGATCCCTCTTCACAAAATGAAACGCAAACAAGAAGCTCTTCCCTTCCTGAAAAGGGTCATATTGAAGCAAATAACAGCTCACATAGAAAGGATAAAATATCCCTTGTTTTACACTGCAGGCTTGTAACAATGCTACTGCTCATCTGAGTGATGCTAATTAATCTTGAGCAGACCTATCATCAGTCACTGAGACTTGCCCCCGGATTAAATGTAAACCAGCCTTGCATAAATTGAATGCCTCCTTTGAATATATAATTGAATTTGCAGAAGTGTACGCCAGGGGGGTGTTTAAATAAGTGCACAAATATGATAAAAAGAACTTCACGCCATAGTATCTAATTCAGTAAGCAAAAATAATGGCAGGGCACAGCCCAATTAGTGTTTGATTTATTTATGTTAACAAATCCAATTAGTAAAATGTTTTATAAAGTCATCCAATGTCAAACTCTCACGGACACAACAGATCTAAAAAAAAACAATGCTTCCAAAAGAGATAAAGAAACGTACTGCGTGAGAAACCTCATTGTGCTTCTAAATACACACAGAAAACAGCACTGATTCAAACATAACTTGATGGAGTGTTTACAACATTCCCAACGTGGGAAGGGGGTAGAAAGAGCACAGCACAGCACATCAGTCTCATTTATCTCATTTCAGGCCTTTTTTTCTGGGACATTAGTAGTTACCTTTCTCCCTTATTTATTAAGAAAGGGGAAGAGGGAACAGCACAGAAACTTGAAATGCATGCTGGAACATCCCTTTTGAGACTATCATGAGAGCTGAGATATAGTTCATCAATTTAGACCTTAGCCTCAAGAAATATGAGGCAAGTAGAGAAAGAAACAAATACTGTGATGATGAGGTAGCATTTAGGAACAATAAAACTCCAGAAATTAACACACTGCTGTTTCTGATCATTCATTCTTATCTCTTCCAAAGACATTCTTGCTTACAAGGGCTGTAAGAGATACATTTGGCGTACTAGGATAAATTCTGTTATGGGATTTATTATCTAAAACCACATTTATAACTTTATCAGACTGTAAGACTTCACACAGTATATGCTTGAGAAGTCTTACTTCATATTCTTATGGAGGGAGAGGAGAATAAAAATGTGCATGTAAAGTTTGTGTTGAGCTGCTTTGTTTAAGATGGGATAAATCGAGGGCTATTGGGGTTCCCTCCCCCAGGAAGAGTAGTTAGTGCTTTATATGCTTTCTACTCCTTGCAGAAAGATAAAGACAGAAGACGTCAGAAATACGCATAAAAGCAACCGAAAATGCTAAGCTGAACAAGAAAGCAGATCCAGATTCTCCAGACCAGACCTGTTGCTAATGAGCACTGTCCACAGCCTCAGCTCTCAGCAGACATCATGCCAAAGAGAAGGACAAAAATGGAGGGATTGAATTTGTCACTTGAGGTATCATTAGTTTCAGCCATGACACCCTAAAAGCAATGCATCTGTATAGCCTCAGGTATCTGCACAGCACAGGATGGGAAGCTTGAGAAGAGCCAACAGTAAATGGGTATCTCATTTGTCAGAAAATCATCCTGCTGCCATCACATTATCAACCTGCTTTTCTAACTACTGGCCCATTTCAACCAGTACTTCATTATTTTACTGAATTGTTTATTCTGTATTCCCAGATTTTCAGGGAAAAGGTTTCTGCACAGAAAAAGGAGTTATCTTTACTGAGTCAAAGGGCACCATATGTTCACCATGTATTTAAACTCAAACTCTGCAAGGGAGAGAAAGGTCCTATGACTCCTCAAACTGCAGGGAAATCTTTGATCAATATCTGTGCCTCGCTTCAAGGACCTACACCAAGAGAAACTGAGAAACGGATTCCCCAGTGTGTAATAAGTTATAAACTCCAAAGTAAAGCATTCGTAACATCTTCTGATGTCAGTTGTTTAAGAGCTGATCTTAGGCCTAACAAATTCAGATAAGTCACTCAACCATGAAACAACAAATGCACTGAAAACCAGACTTCCCCACTTCTGGCACTCACAAAAGTGCTTCTCTCCAGGTACCCAGATGTTCTGGGGTTTAGAAGTAAACACCAGTGATTTCTCTAGTGCCTCAAACACATTCCTGTTTGTGATTTGGTTTCTGCTGCAAGTATCAGTCCTCATTGACAAGGCATGACTCATCTGCCACAGGACTGCTCCATCTCTTTTCTTTCCATCTTACTCTTAACACATTATTATTAGATTTACATATAAGCAGAGAAAGTTTTGTTTGCACTCCAGAAGGTGCAAATCCTCTGAGATACCGGTAACTGATTGTCTGGTTCTTGTTAGAACTGACTGAATTTCATTCCTTTCTCATGGGCTCTGTGTTCTGGCAATCAGATCTCTCAGATTCAGGGTAGAGGGGTACAGAAAGTGTGTGTTTGTTTTAAACTACACTGATGAATATCACTTCAGGATTAAAAAATATGTATGTAGCTTGTTTTTTTTTCTTCCTAAATCAAGTTAATCCTTGGAAATAAAAAACAAAACTGGAGTGCAGCTCAGAAAAGCTCTTAATTTCAACTGGAAATGATAATGGTCCCAAAGTAGGCTCAAGATTGGCATTTTTTGTATCACTGTGATTTCAAGTGCTATCAACCTATTAAAGATGACTATTACACTGGTACAGATCTTTTAGAAGTCTTTTCCAAATTTGTATACCATGTCAAATTGTTATCTTTGCAGGTTCACAGAATCCCAGACTGGTTTGGAAGGGACCTTAAAGCTCATCTAGTTCCAACCCCCTGCCACGGGCAGGGACACCTTCCACTAGAGCAGGTTGCTCCAGGCCCCTGTGTCCAACCTGGCCTTGAACACTGCCAGGGATGGGGCAGCCACAGCTTCTCTGGGCACCCTGTGCCAGCGCCTCAGCACACCCACAGGGAAGAACTTCTGCCTAAGTTCCTATCTCAATCTCCCCTCTGGCAGGTTAAAACCATTCCCCCTTCTCCTATCACTACATTACAACATTATACATCTATTTCCACGCACTTTGTAGCAGATTATGAGCAGAGTTCCCAGGCACACACGCAACACGTGCACAAATTCAATGGTTGCATGTTCATTTCATAGAAACCTTGCTGTCATCAAAATATTGCTGACATTGCATAAGGGATCCTGTGTAGTCTTCATGACTGTCACCAATAACGTATCTTTATGTTGTGAAAAGAAGAGATCAAATAGGACTAACATTGTCTGGTGAAACACCTAAAGACAAAACATCCTCCAAGTAATAAGTTTTTCTTCCAATACTTCTCCACAGAAATTATTGGTCCCAAATGTGCAATAGAGTCTGACCAAGTTTATCAGTTATCTTCTAATCCCATGAAAGCACTCCGCTGCAAAACAAGCATTGTGCCTAGGATCCTGATATATATGGAACAAGTGTTTAATCTGTATTTCCCAAACTTGTCAGGTTAAACTAACTTTTCATTCTTAAATTCATTGTTAGAGGTTTCTCTCTGCAACAGCTTACCTACGTCTCATGATTTGAGCCCTGGACCAGCTCATACATTCATTACTAATTCTGTACTTTATAATCCACCAAGGATGAGTGAAAGCACTTTGAAGTATCCTAGGAGTAAAACTAACACTAAATGTCATTTGTTTAAATTTATGTGTCCAAATTCTAGGATGACTCATCTAACTTCACTTGCCAGAATGTCTGTCCTTTATTTAATACCAGGAATATCTTTTTCCTATTTCAATAGCTCAATATTAACATTTTATTGCTTTATTTAAAAGTGTCATTATTAACATATCTATAATCTCATTGGATTTTTTAAGCTATGGAACAAAGCCCGTTAACACACTGCACCTTTCAAAGAATCCTAACTTTGCAAGTTCAGTTTAGTTTCTGTCTGCTGACACACACCAGGATTTATATGAAGAGATTTCAGACTTTCAGACTGTGTAACGAAACTTGTAAAATTAACACAGGTCTTTAAAACCATAGAAGACTGTTAAACAGACATTCTCCACCACCTTTTCTTATTATTCTAGC